CTTTTTATACCGAAAATATGCCAATTACTGAAAACAGCGATGGGTCATATTTTGCCCAAACCCCGCTGCAGTTTTCAAAATGTCTGAAATGTCGGAAATTTGACTCCTGAGCGTGATTTTTGAGCCGAATTCTGACTCTCTACACCTATTTTCAGTTTCAAATTACGACGTTTCATACCGAAAATATGCCAATTACTGTAAACGGCGATGGGTCATATTTTGCCCACACCCCTCTGCAGTTTTCAAAATGTCTGAAATGTCGGAAATTTGACTCCTGAGCGTGATTTTTGAGTCGAATTCTGACTCTCTGCACCTATTTTCAGTTTCAAATTACGACGTTTCATACCGAAAATATGCCAATTACTGAAAACGGCGATAAGTCATATTTTGCCCAAACCCCCCTGCAGTTTTTAAAATGTCTGAAATGTCAGAAATTTGACTCCTGAGCGTGATTTTTGAGCCAAATTCTGACTCTCTGCACCTATTTGCAGTTTCAAATTACGACGTTTCATACCGAAAATATGCCAATTACTGTAAACGTCGATGGGTCATATTTTGCCCAAACCCCCCTGCAGTTTTCAAAATGTTTGAAATGTCAGAAATTTGACTCCTGAGCGTGATTTTTTATCCGAATTCTGACTCTCTGCACTTATTTTCAGTTTCAAATTACGACGTTTCATACTGAAAATATGCCAATTAGCAGTTTTCAAAATATCCCAAACATCTCAAATTCGATACCCGAGCCATATTTTGGACCCAAATTCTGGCTTTCTGCACCTATTCGCAGTTTAAAATTCCGACTTTTTATACCAAAAATCTGCCAATTACTGAAAGCAGCGGTTTGTCACATTTTGTCCAAACCCCCCTGCAGTTTTCAAAATATCCCAAACATCCCTAATTCGATACCTGAGCCATATTTTTGACCCAAATTCTGGCTCTCTGCACCTATTCGCAGTTTGAAATTCCGACTTTTTATACCAAAAATCTGCCAATTACTGAGAGCGGCGGTGAGTCACATTTTGCCCAAACCCCCCTGCAGTTTTCAAAATATCCCAAACATCCCAAATCCGATACCTTAGCCATATTTTGGAGCCAAATTCTGGCTCTCTGCACCTATTCGCAGTTTGAAATTCCTACTTTTTATACCGAAAATATGCCAATTACTGAAAGCGGCGGTGCTTCACATTTTGCCCAACCCCCCATGCAGTTTTCAAAATATCAGAACTATAGCAAATCTGACACATGAGCGTTATTTTGGAGCCAAATTCTGGTTCACTGCTTTATTTGCAGTTTGAAATTGCTACTTTTATTAATGAAAATATGCATATTTCTGAAAACGGCTATAGGTCACATTTTACCCAAACCCACCTTCAGTTTTCAGAATATCGGAAATATTGCAAATTTTATACATGAGCGTTAATTAGGAGCCGAATTCTGGCTCGTTGCACCTATGTGCAATTTGACATTTCGACATTTTATACCGATTATATGCCAATTACTGAAAGCGTCGATATGTTACATTTTGCCCAAACCCCCTTACAGTTTTCAAAATATCGGAAACATCGCAAATCTGACGCATGAATGTTATTGTGAAGACGAATTTTGGCTCACTGCACTTATTTCCAGTTTGAAATTGTGACTTTTTATACCCAAAATATGTCAATTAGTGTAAACGGTAATGGGATGGTACACATTTTAACCAAAACCACCCTGCAGTTTTCAAAATATCGGAAATATCGCAAAGCTTATACATGTGTTATTTTGGAGCCGAATTCTGGCTCACATTACTTATTTGCAGTTTGAAATTACGACTTTTTATACCGAAAATATGCCAATTTGTGAAAACGGTGATGTAGTGAATCACATTTTACCCAAACAGCCCCTTGTAGTTTTCAAAATATCGGAAATGTCGCAAATCGGACGCATGAGCGTTATTTTGAAGCCAAATTCTGGCTCACTGCACATATTTGCACTTTGGAATTTCGACATTTTATAAAGAACATACGCTAATTACTGAAAACGGCGATATGTCACATTTTGCCAACCCCCCCCCCCCCTCCCCCGTTATGTTTTTAAAATATCGGAAATATTGCAAGTCTGACGCATGAACGTTATTTTGAAGCTGAATTCTGGTTCACTGCACATATTTGCAGTTTGAAATTATGACTTTTTATACCGAAAATATGCCAATTACTGAAAACAGCGATGGGTAACATTTTCCCCAAATCCCCCATGCAGTTTTCAATATATCGGAAATATCGCAAAACCGACTCATGAGCGTTATTTTGAAGCCGAATTCTGGCTCATTGCACACAATTTTAGTTTGAAATTACGACTTTTCATTTCGCTGTCCAGGCTAGAGTGGCGGGCCAGGCCTCCGGGGGCGGGCTTGGGTTCAGTGGAGACGGGCCAGGCCCCATGGAGTCTAGCCAGGCCCCGTGGATGCGGGGCCAGGGCGCCGTGGATGCGGGGCCAGGGCGCCGTGGATGCGGGGCCAGGGCGCCGTGGATGCAGGGCCAGGCCCCGGAGAAGCGGGCAAGGCCCAGGAGAGCCGTGAAAAGCCCCGTGGAGGCCAGCCAGGCCATGGAGAGTCGGGCTAAAAGTCCCGAAGAGTCACGAAGTCCCTTCTCTCCATATGTGTTACTAGGTTTTTTCTCTCGATCTTCTCCATCACCTTGCGTGGTATACAAATTAAGGACACTGGCCTGTAGTTCAGTGCCTCTTGTCTGTCACCCTTTTTGTATATTGAGACTACATTAGCCGACTTCCCTATAGCTGGTAGGTCTCCCATCTCCAGTGACCTACTATACACTATCGAGAGTGACAAGCAAAGGGCTTCTGCACACACTATAATACCCATGTTGAGATTCCGTCTAGGCCAACAGCCTTTCTCTCGTCCAGATCCAACAGATGCCTCTTAACCTCGTCTCTTGTAATTTCGAACCATTCCAAGGTCGCCTGGTTTCCGGCCACCTTTCCTAGCGCAGTGACCTCACCTCGTTCTATTGTTAAGACGACCTGGGACCTCTTGTTGAGTTCTTAACACACATCTCTGTCATTTTTCTGTGTACCCTGACCTCACCCGTTCTAAGTTTCATCACCTGTTCCTTCACTGCTGTTTTCCTCCTGAGGTGACTGGAGTAGCTTCGGTTCGGCCTTGGCTTTATTAGCTATATAATTTTCATACTTTTTCTCGGCTTCTCTTCTCACACTAACATACTCATTCCTGCTTCTCTGGTATCTCTCTCTACTTTCAGGTGTTCTGTTATTTCGGAAGTTCCTCCGCGCCCTTTTGTTCAGTTCCTTTGCTTCCATACATGCCCTATTAAACCACGGATTCTTCTTTTGCTTCTCGGTTTTTTCCTTTCGGGCCGGGATAAACCTGTTTACTGCCTCTTGACACTTTTTGGTGACATTGTCCATCATGTCTTGTTCGGACTTTGTTCCGAGTTCTGTATCCCATGGTATATTCTTCAGGAATTTTCTCATCTCTTCATAATTTCCCTTTCGGTACACCAGCCCTTTGTTTCCTGGTTCTTTTTGGGGGGAGATATATCTTAACTCTACCAGGTAGTTAAAGATCAATACACTGTGATCACTCATTCCCAAGGGGGCTTCCAACTTAACTTCCCTTATATCCGACTCATTTAAGGTAAATATCAGATCAAGAAAAGCTGGTTCATCCTTTCCTCTCATTCTTGTTGATACGTTGATGTGTTGGCTTAGAAAGTTCCTTGTTGCTACGTCCAGCAATTTAGCTCTCCATGTGTCTGGTCCTCCATATGGGTCTCTGTTCTCCCAATCTATTTTCCTGTGGTTGAAGTCCCTCATGATTAGTAGTCTGGATCCGTTCCTGCTAGCGACTGAAGCTGCTCTCTATTATATTAATGGTAGCCATATTGTTTCTATCTTATTCCTGTCTGGGTCTTCTGTCGTTTTGAGGGAGTTATATATGACAACTACTATAATTTTTTGTCCTCCAATTGCTATGGTACCTGTTATGTAGTCACTGAAATCCTCACAGCCTTGAATAACCATCTCTTCAAAACTCCAGCCTTTTCTTATCAGCAGAGCTACACCACCTCCTCTTCCTTCTTTCTCTTTCCTCACTACATAGTAGTCCTGTGGAAACACTGCATTTATGGTTTTCGTTAGCTTTGTGTCTATGAGTGTTATTATAGCTGGGTTTTCTTCTAGTGCCTGTTCTCCAAGTTTACTTGTTTTATTTGTAAGCCAATCTGTATTAGTGTACATTGCCTTGAAGCTCATTTTCTTGTGTTCATTCTCTTGTCCCCTTCCTAGTGAGCGTTCTGCTGATGGAGGAAGCTGTTCCATAGGTGTTAAGATTTGAAAGGTGGTTAACAGGGTCTCAGAGGATACTGGGATGAAGGGGAGGGGGGTCAAGGGAAGGGGGGGGGGACAGGGAGGTTATGGGGTAAGGAATGGGGGGGACATGAAGGATATCGGGTGAGGATGGGAGGGAGGATAGGGAGGGTATGGGGAAAAAGGGAGAGGGAGGTCAGGGGGGGGGGAAGGCAAAGGAGGGAGGGGGGGACATGATGGGAATGAGGGAGGGGTGACCGGGTCGGTATGGTATCACACATTATCACACGCACACACACAGGTGTGTGTGTGTGATGTGTGTGTGCATGTGCAAGAGAAATATATGTAGTAGACATAATTGAGGAAAATTTAATTGGTTAGAAAGGTGGGGTCCAAGAGCTAATAGCTTGATTCTGCAGATACAGATTGTAAAAATACATAGTAAATACACACACACACACACCGATTCACAAGGTAAGTAAACATGGAACTAATGTTTAGCAGGTTCTCCATTAAATGTTTCATATATATATATATAGACGCATTATTTTCACGTAATATATCAAAACGTATTCAATAAAGTTTAATAACAGTGAATAAACTGCAACTAATATAATGAAATTAATAAACAAGTACATGATGTTGGTAAAGGAAAATCCAAATATTTTTCAGCTGTATTAAAATAATCTCTTAAAAACAAAACAATACATAAATAATCACCTCTTTTTCAGGCCTTAAACCTAATATAACAGTTCATTTATGTCAACATTTGTTCTCGTTTAAAATATATAATTATCAACGTGCTACTGTGTGGGGAAACATCCTCTGATTAAATACCAAGCATAACACTGTTAAAGGTTCGGAACCTCGGTGTTATCGCTTGTTATATAACAGGCGATAACGTATGTTTATACAACAGGCGAAAACATATGTTTATACTACAGGCGATAACAAAAATATATAAACGTGACGCCAACAATCAACACGTTTATATATATTTGTAACACGTAAGCGTGACAGCTGTTGGCTTTCCATGTGAGTGATGAAATTACATAGTAACTGCGAGATATGCTAGAACGGTTTTGCTGTGTAACCAACTAGTAAACTGAGCTTAAATTTTGTAGTCTGGATTATCTAGTCTGTTTGGTCAGTTGTAGCTCATAGTTTCTGAACCTGTTAACTGTGTTACGCAATACGAGTTATCGGTATTTATCACTATCTTGAGAATTTCTTGATGTTATTGCACGAAGATATTGTCACCTACCTTCTTGACAAAACTGTCAAGTAATCTACCACCTTGTTGACCAGACCACACACTAGAAGTTGAAGGAACGACGACGTTTCGGTCCGTCCTGGACCATTCTCAAGTCGATCGACTTGAGAATGGTCCAGGACGGACCGAAACGTCGTCGTTCCTTCAACTTCTAGTGTGTGGTCTGGTCAACATATTTCAGCCACGTTATTGTGACTCATCGCCGGAATCTACCACCTTCACCATAGGTAATCAGTAGAGAAAACTATTCTAATTGTTGCCTGTCTTTCAAACACCACATTCTTGCAGGATTCTCAAAATCTAATCTGAACCGATTTTATGCACTTAATGTTATTCTCATCAATTATTTAGAAGGTATTTTTTTCAATAAGGTTAATCTGCGTTCTTCATTCAGAGAAAGCTGTCGAGGAAGCGTATAGTGGGGTCATATACATAGTAATTCGCGTTCTCCGCCCATAGGAAGTCCACGTGGTTGAAGTCTCGCAGCTTAATCTGGTGGTCAAGAGCCACCCAAGGCAGCTCCGATGCCGTCTGTCGCACGTCCTGCAACACAATAATCGGCCATACTATTCATAGAAAATCCCTAGAGCACCTATACACTATCTATATAGCACTCATAGTGCTTATACATAGCACTTACAGAGTTCATATGCAGCAAAAATAGTCTTCACACAGCACCAATAATTTTTTTAATAGAATGCCCATAGAATACCTACAAGACAGTTTAAAAGAGTTGGTGCAGCTCACACCGAGGTGGTTGGTGTCAGCTGAAGGGGAAGACGGGAAACGATTTCGTTACTGGATCAATTTATGGGAAATTAAGGATCGATTTTCATGTTTTTGTTGTGGTTAGGAGAGTAAAATTTAAACTGCCAACAAACATTCTGTTTAATTCAGAAGTAATTAATTATCAAAAGAAGGCACCAAACCGGGAAGGCTATGTAGCACCATCAAATGTGCGGAATAATCAGAGGGCGCTAAATATCACCAAGGATGCCAATACGAGAACAAAAACGCATAAGGTGAACGATATCAAAAGTATCCGAGTCACCAAAAATTCTATTGAGGGACAAGTAACCGCGAGGGGCGGTCGGAAAGCAAGACACACGCTCGTCCTGGAAGTCAGGACATTCAAGAAGGACATGCACGACTGTAAGAGAGACAATGCAATTAGGACAATAAGGAGCAGGGCGGCGCTCCAAGTAACCATGGGTTAAGCGAGTTTGGCCAATACGCAACCTCGCCAGAGCCGTTCCCATCGCCGATTACGGTGGTAGGAGGACGGCCACGAGGAAACACAACATTTAAGAGTACGTAGTTTGTTACCAGTATCAGACGACCAAGAAGCCTGCCAACGGGTAAGGATGGAAGAATGGATAACCGGGTAAAAGTCGGAATATGGAATACCTTTACGAGAGATGGGACAAGAGCAGACAGCTTCCTTGGCGGCAGCATCCGCACGCTCATTTAAAGACACACCAATATGGCTGGGAACCCAACAAAACTCAACCGACTTAAATTTACTGTGAACAAGAAACAGCCAATACTGGATCTCGACAACTACTGGATGAACCGGATTAAAGGACCTGAGAGCCATGAGGGCACTACGAGAGTCAACAACAACCACAAAGGAAGACTGACAACGAGAAAGCAGGAGACGAAGAGCATAGAGAATAGCATAAAGCTCCGCTATAAAGATGCTAGTCTCCGGAGGTAAGCGACACATATAAGTGCGATCAGGAAAAACAACAGAGTAGCCAACACCGTCCGCTGACTTAGACCCATCGGTGAAGACAGAAACGGAGCGGGAGTGAGAAGAAAAGTGCTCAAGGAAAAGGCGTTTTAGAACCATAGGAGGGGTAAAAGCTTAAGTGATGCGGGTCAAGGAAGTACAAAACTGCGGAAGGGGGACTCTACGGGGGCAAAGAAGGAACAACACGAGGAGAAACATTAGAAATACAAACGGAAAGAGAATCCTGTAAGCGAGATAATCGGACAGAAAGAGGGAGGTGGTGAAGAGGAATAGAACCGCAGGAGGGGTAAAAGTTAAAGCACGACAGAGGCGAGAGGAAGGATGTTGTAAGGACCGCGCAAGATAGCGAAGACAGTAGCGATCAGGGCGGTCCTGGAGAGACAGGAAGCCAGTGTCAACATACAAGCTAAGGACGGGAGTCGAACGAAAGGCACCAGAATTGAGGCGCAACCCAGTATGGTGCAAAGCATCAAGACGGCGAAGAGTAGAAGGAGAAGCAGACGAGTAAGCAGGGCAACCATAATCGAGCTTAGACAGAACGAGAGAGGAATGTGAAGCAAGGAGAGTGCGCCTATCCGCTCCCCAAAAAGTATGGGACAATACCCGAAGGAGGGTAAGAGACCGAGCACTCAACACGGAGGTAAGAGATATGGGGAGACCAAGACAAACGAGTGTCAAGGAATAACCCCAAAAGCTTCGCGGAATCTTTGTACTCAAGAGGATGACTATAAAGTAACAAAGAGAGACGAAGAACAACCCGTTTCCGAGTAAAAGTCATGGCACAAGTCTTAGTAGTAGAGAACTTGAAGCCATGATCGGTGGCCCAAGACGACATGGCATGAATCGCAAGTTGAAGCCGGCGTTGAAGGAGAGGCAAATCATCACCCTGACAGCAAAGGGTAAGATCATCGACAGAGTGTGGAGAAGACGTCTGAAGGAAGAGAGGAAAGAAGACCATTGAGGGCAACCAGAAAAGGAGTAGTGCTCAGAACACTACCCTGGGGCACACCTTGATATTGCTGAAAAGAGGTACCAAAAGCGGTACCAAGCCGCACCCGAAAGGAACGACGAGACGGGAAACTGCGGAGAAAGAGAGGGAGATGACCACGAAGGCCAAAAGAATGAAGCTGGGATAGAATATGATATCGCAAAGTGGTGTCGTAAGCCTTTTCCAGGTCAAAAAGGACGGCAACAACGGAGGTCCTCGCAGCAAAAGCAGTACGAATATAGACCTCCAAGTTCACCAGGACATCTGTCATGCTGCGGCACTTGCGAAAACCAAATTGACAAGGGGAGAGGAGGTGATGGTGTTCCAGGAACCACATCAGACGAACGTTAACCAAACGTTCCCAGTTTGCAGACACAACTTGTGAGGGCAATAGGGCGAAAGTCCTTAGGGGATGTTCCTAGAGACCCTGGTTTGCGAACAGGGAGGACAACGGCATCGAGCCAGTCCTCAGGGACTGACGACGACTCCCAGATCCGATTATACAGACTCAGTAAATACCGAGACGTGCACGGAGGGAGATGGTGAAGCATCTCGTAATGAATACCATCGGAGCCCACCACCGTAGAACCGCAGAGGGCCAGGGCAGAACGAAGTTCAGAGAGAGAGAAGGGATCATTATAGGGAAGTCGAAGACGAGTGCAGAAATCTAAAGAACGAGACTCGAGGACAAGTTTACGAAGAAGGAAAGATTGGGGAAGATGAAGACCAGAGCTAACAAAAGAAAAGTGGGAACCCAGTTCGGAAGCGACCTGCAACGGATTCACCACAAGAGTACCACGGAGGTGAAGGACCAGTGAAACATCGGGAACAAACTTACGCGCTATCTTGCGGATACGCTTCCAGACCTGTGGCAGAGGAGTTTCGGACGTGATGGTGGAGATATAAGATGCCCAACATTCACGTTTAGCCGTAGGGATGGGCCTACGGGCCACCGCACTCGCCTTCCGAAAGAAAAGAATCGACTGTTTGCCGACGGCGGGGTGTCTTCCAGGCTGCACGTTTACAGCGGACAGCCCGAGCATAGTCTGCATTCCACCAGGGAACGCAATTCCGTGGACCCCGAGAGGAAGATCGAGGAATAGAGCGGAGGGCATCGTCAAAGACAGTGTCATGAAAAAGAAGGAGAGAGCGAGGGAGAGGTATAAAAGGGAGAGGTCAGAGAGAGCAGCGCTGAGGGTAAAGAGGTCCCAGTCCGCTCTCGCAAACTGCCACCTAGGGAAGGAGAGGGGAGGGCGAAAAAGAGAAAAAGGTAACAAGGATAGGGAAATGGTCACTGCCATGGAGGTCATCAAGAACCTGCCACGTGAAATCTAAGTAAAGAGAAGAAGAGCAAAGAGAAAGATCAAGACAGGAAAGGGTGCAAGTCCGAGAGTCCAAATGCGTGGGCTCACCAGAATTCAGAAGAGACAGGGAAGAAGAGAGGATAAACGGCTCAAGAAGGCGACCCCGGGTGTTCGTCAGAACATCACCCCAAAGGGAATGACGACAATTGAAATCTCCCAGCAGGAGCACAGGCTCCGGCAAGGAGTCCAGTAAGTGTTTCAGATCAGGAAGAGAAAGCGTGACACTCGGGGGGAGATAAATGGAACAAACAGTGTACCATTTCTCCACAAAGATACGAACAGCAGAACAATGGAGAGGCGAAGGAAAAAGTAAGGGCACAAAGGGAACATCAGAGCGAATCAAGAGAGCAGAAGAGTTAGGAGCCCCAGCAACAGCTTGGGGGGGGGGGAGAGAAAGGAATAGCCACGAAAGCGACCAGGACGAGCACAAAGTATCGGCTCCTGGAGACAGACACAAAGGGCCGAAAACCGAAATCAGAAGTTGGAGTTCGAGGAAATTGGCGTAATAATCTCGAACGTTCCATTGAAGAATAGACATCGACGAGAAGAGAAAGGACAACAACAGAGAACAAGGAAGAAACAAAAGCAAAAGAGCAAAACAGCACGTTAAAGAAGATCAAGGTCGGGATCAGGGTCAGGAAAGTCAGGGTTAGGGGGCATGGGTAAACTGAGCAAAGACGGAGGGAAGGAAGCGGGAGAACAGACCAGAGGTGGGCAGGCGGGGTCCGGAGGAGGAGGAGGAAGAGGAGAAGACAACGGGGAGGAGCAGTCAAGGACAGCAGCAGAAAGAGGGGAGTGCACCTCAGCAAGGGCAGCAACCGAGAGGGAAGCGGGGGCCAAAGAAACCTCCAAAGCAGGAACAGGGGGTGCAACCACCGAAACGGGAGGGGAAGAAGCAATAAAGTCAGTAGTAGGGGCCGAGGAAGAGAGCGAAGCCTTCTTACCCGCCGGGGAGGAGGAAGGAGAGGAGCCAGGCTTACGCTTCTGACTTAAAGAGACCGGTGTCCCAGCAACTACGTACCGGGCAACGGATTCCAGCGTCTCAACAGGAGAAGCTGAACGAGAGCACACACGACGGCCGTTAGGAGAGCGATGGGCATCAGCCCGTACCGATAGGCGGCGGGGAGAGTCAATAGATGGAGGAGAAGGATGGGAAGGAGGATCGGAGGGAGACGAGGAAGAAGACACAGGAGACATGACAGACCGGGTAGAAAGAAGGGGAACCCCAGACAGAGGACCAGGAGTGGGGCCCCTTTGGGACAGAACTCAAAGGAACAGAGGAGGGGGCAGTGGGCGTATCAGGGTCCAAGGCCCGGAAACGGTTGCGAGTCTGAGGAAGGTGGGAAGGACGAGGAGAGGAAGAGCGCAACACGCGAGTATAAGAGACGTTAGCATAAGGCAGGAGCCGGCGAACCTGGTGCCTCGCCTCAGGAAAAGATAAACGCTCCCGGTGCTTCAAGGTGAGGACGGCTGCCTCAAGCTTGTTATGGATACACGCATGGGAGAAGGTAGGATGGGCCTCACCGCAGTTGAGGCAGCGAACCTGGGGAGAAGTGTACTCCGACTTAGAGTGACCTTCGCCCCCACACAAAGGACAGAGAGAGACAGTCCCAGAGCAGCGGAGGGCACCATGCCCAAACCTCCAGCACTTGTTACAGAGCCTAGGAGAAGGAATGTACTCCTGGACAGAGCACCTGGCACCAGCAAGAATGACAGGGTGGAAGGGTCCTACCATCAAAGGTAATCTTCACAACCCGAAGGGGTTGACGGCGACGAGCACGAAGGGGACGAGTAAACGTGTCAACCCGGAGGACAGAATGGCCCTAGGCATCGAGGATATGCCGAATATCATCATGGCAATCCTGCAGATTCCGAAGACCGGACGCAACATGGGGCGGGAGGAGAATAGTGCCAACACTGGCATTCAACTGAGCGTTCTTTGAGACCCCGAACAGGGGTCTCGCCAAGGCAGGATAAGGCAGCCAAGTGGGAAGCTGCATCCTGAGGAGCAGCAGCAACGAAAGTGTACCGAGACGAGTAGGGTTGAAGGTAACAGAGGCATCCACGGAATCAACAAGATGTCGACGGAGGGAGAAATCGTCAGGAGGCGCAGAATCAAGAGGGAGGAGATCAAAGTATTTGGCCCACGAAGCGGGACCAAACAAGGCTTGATAGGCATCAGAACGGGAAGGAATCGAGCGTGTTCGGCCGTGTCGAGGACGGCGTTGAGAACCCCCAGAGAGAGAGGGGTTAAAAGGCGCAGTAGTTACAACTAGAGATGGAGCCGTGCCAGGGGACGAGGTAGTCACCACTGGGGGCTTGGGGCTCGACCCAACCACAGAGGAGGGAGGGGAGCCGAGGGGAGTAGTCAGAGAGGCCAAAGGAGGAGCAAGGTCGGGGCCCAATGCAGCGGAGGCTACAGAGCCCGGTCTTCCAACACGGACCGACTCGGGGGCTTGGTCGCCCACCCCACGAGCCTGAGAAGATAAAGGAGGAACAGAACACAACATAGGTACGAACTATAAACATTCATTCACGAATGTGCCCCCACATCCACCATGGAGCCACAATTAGAGGCAGGACACCCAACAAGTAGCTATCGCCGATCATGCCGGGGCTTCCTAGGGGTGCGTCGTGAGTATACGCCCCACAAACGCCACCTTAAGAATCGTCAGTCCGTCGAGATCGGGTTCAGTGACGAAAGGGGGATTGACAATAAAATGTTCCCCTCGCTCTCTACGTTGGGTACTACAGTTCTACGGGTGCAAGAGTATGCCTCCTCAAGCACCCGGGCGTCAAAATAGAAGAAGTCCAAAGGAATAACCAAAACACATAAAAGGTCGGCAGGAAACGACAAGCATATAGGAGAAGAGGGGGGAAAACGAAACAGAAGGAAAAGGAAAAGTTGTTCAGCAAAATTTGAGAGGACAGCAGCAGGAGCACAAGGCAACAAAAGGACAGAGTACTGTCCCAAGGAGCATCACACTCCGGCAGCCGTCCACTAAGCCCACCTCACGGCATCAACGAGCTGAACGGGGAGGGGGAATTCAGAAGAAACAATAGTAAACACAATAAGAAAATACAGAGGGCGCAAGTAATTTATTTAATATCGTCTCGTACAAAGATCACGATCAAATAATTCCAACATAACGTATCTCAAAAAACAAATAAAGAGGGAAATTAAATAAAAATTTATTATACGTTAACACAAAATGAAAAAAAAAAAACGCACAAAGAAGGCATGTGAAGAATGCACAATGAAATCACATTACGTGATGTATCTATGATAAAATATTGTGTTCATGAGTGAAATCGCGTCTACGGACTCCAATGGATGGATCATAATGGGTAAAATTATCTCTACTTGAAGTTCTACAAAATTAAATTGGAGCTTGGAATGCACCAGCTAGTACCTGCTACCCAATGTCTCCTAAATACCAGCCCACACTCAGGTGAAGGTAGTAATGTTCCCCACCTTACACCACCGTCAGTGAACATTGGAATCACAAAAACCGTGATGTATGTGTGTGAGAAATATTAAATTGAGGATATCACCTTCCATATGGACACTAGGTCTTGCAGAGTGGTTAGTGCGTGGGTCAAGAGGGTCCAGAGTCGACTGGTCAATCCCACAAATTGCCATAATTGTTATCTTATGCGAGAGCTGCAGAGAGCATTTCTTGGAGCTTACCTTTTAAACACTCATGACAGTTACGTACAAGATACATATAAATTTAATGTTTATTTTCAATGCTTCACTCAGTACATGAAATTGAAATCATAAAGTTTATTATATAAACTACTGTATAAGTAAGTCCATCATAATACATTCATATAGAAAGAACGCTAGAAAGCTTAGAACGTTTTGTAGATAAAGAAGCAGTAATATTCACTAAACGAGTAAAAAAAAAAAATAGCATGGAAAGTTAACTGAAACTCTGAAGATGAAGAAAGAAAAAAGGGACAAAAGAAACATTTCTCACCCTAGGATCAACGATCCAGTCGTTCTCAGACCAGAAGAGACCAACGGGGACGCGGACGGCGGCGAGAGAGAACTGAGGCGGCGACGCCCTTCCATACTTCACCAGGTTTTTGGCCTCTCCGTGGTCGTAGGCCTGGAACTTGCCTGCACAGTAATTGTTGGTTAAAATATAGCCACGGCGTACTTATTTAGTCACATTAATAACAGTTTATGAAACAGTGTCACGGGCTAATTACACATGTATCACAAAATCAACCAACTGGTTGAAGTTTTTTTTGTTAAGTGAAGGGCTTCAGAGAATACTAGAGATAAGTATTAAGCGATAATTTATGAGGGATATAACTTATATCAACAGAACATAAGAATATAACAACGGAAGAAAATATAAAAAGTTCTAGGTTAATAGAGCGGTAACCGTGAGACGAAGATGATGTTGGACATATTGAGGCTGGCCCACGTGGGATGATTATGGCAAGCCTTCGTTGAGTGATCATGACAGGCCTATATGACGTGATAATGGTAGGCCTGCATGACGTGATCATGGCAGGCCTACATAACGTGATCATGGCAGGCCCGTATAAGATGAATATGGCAGGCCTGAGTAAGATGATCACAGCAGGTCTGAGTAAGGTGATTACAGCAGGTTTGAGTAACGTGATGACTGCACGCCTGAGTAACGTGATCACAGCAAGTCTGAGTAAGGTAATCACAGCAGGACAGTTATGGGTAATAACTATAGTCCTTGCGTTGGGTAGGAAGATTTTTGGATATAATGGTGTCAACTTCTCAACTAGGAAGATAACAAATTGATATTTGACATTAGATGTGATGGAACAGATTTTATTATGGACTGTCCAACACTGGAGGCCGTTCTTTTTAGTGTCCTCAGTTACCGCTTGATTTGGGCCAAATCGTAAAATAAAGCGGGGCACAGTCTCTGCATCCAACCATGGTTCCAATCCTTAAATACTCCTCAGAAGTGATAGGCCAGAATTTAACATTAATACCAATTTCTCAGTATTTGTACTGAATTTGGTTACATAGATTGAAATGAGTATTTTTAATATGTAAAGAACACTAGCAAGCTTAGCATGTTCTCTATGTAAAGATGAAATAATAAGGTACCAAATGAGAACATTTTATGTGGAAAGTTAACTGAAACTTTAAAAGAAAGGGAAATATTCTCAGGATCATATCTCACCTTACTGATGGAGTGGATGAGAATATTCCTGTAATGCTTTAGAATGACTTTACTAGTGATAAGAATACTGCTGTTATATTTCAGGCTGACTTTACTTGTCGATGAGAATACTCCTGTAATGCTTCAGACTGACCTTACTGGTGGATGAGGATATTTTTGTAATGCTTCAAACTGACCATACTGCTGAATGAGAATATTCCTGTAATGCTTCAGACTGACCTTACTGGTAGATAAGGATATTCTTGTAGTGCTTCAGACTGACCTTACTGGTGGATGAGGATATTCCTGTAATGCTTCAAACTGACTATACTGCTGAATGAGAATATTCCTGTAATGCTTCAGACTGACCTTACTGGTAGATAAGGATATTCTTGTAATGCTTCAGACTGACCTTACTGGTAGATGAGGATATTCCGGTAATGCTTCAGACTGACCTTACCGGTGGATGAGAATATTCATGTAATGCTTCAGATTGACCTTATTGGTGGATGAAGATATTTTTTTAATGTTTCAGACTGACCTTACTGGTGGATGAGGATATTTTTGTAATGCTTCAGACTGACCTTACTGGTAGATGAGGATATTCTTGTAATGATTAAGACTGACCTTACTGCTGGATTAGAATATTTATGTAAGGCTTTACACTCACCCTACAAGCAGCTGTGATGTAAACTAAACTAAAATCAATATTCAGTAAAAAACTAAATCAATATTCAGTAGCACTGGGAACGTACGACATCGTTCACATAGTGGGGAGAAATTAATCTTTTGTTCTGGATAACGTTACCTTACAACGGATCACTTAGATGTTATAATCAAAATTTGTGGAAAATCACTTGCATTCGTCCCGAAATAGTGTGGCGTTGCCTAATGATGTTACTTGATGAGTTGTGTGTGCTTGATTTAGTAAACTGGAAAATATTTTGAACTGCCTTACATAATTAACTTACCAGAACACAGCTTAATATAATCTAAGCTAATATTACACACCAGCATCGAGAAAACGAGAACAAATATTATGAATTTATACACTTCAATACCGTCTTTTAAAAATCATATTCAAAGACAATGAACTGGTGAATATTGTATAAATCAGCCTCTCCCCCACAAACAAAAATATATTAGTTTAGTCTTTGCACCATGTCTCGTGTGAAGCTTCTCCTCTCAAGTCCCCAAGTACCTGTATACAACAAATTCCCACTTACAAATTTAAAGGTAAAAACAATGGTTAAATTTTAATATAAAACAACAAATCTGCTCATTTACTGGAACGATAGCAGATTCAAACATTATTCAATTTATTGACCGAAACTATGACAGATTAATAGACACTTGGATTAAAAGGCAAAATTGCATGACTTGGCATTTGTTATGCTCGATATATAAACATTATTAATATCTTGATTGCATTATTTCACTAATCATTTGCCTAAATCATTTTATTCGAATTTGCTAAGACTTTAATTTATATATAAAATTCGGGTGGAGAACACTGTTACAATCAACATAGTTTTTAACTATGCAAGACTGAAAAGTGATAACATACAGTATGGGATATAAGGCGATATAAAAATTGACGTTGTCCCTTCCCGTTGGTGCCGGGAAGACAATATAGCACAGTACAAGGCGACAGGGCAGCGAGACACTTACGTGAAGCGTGGAGTTGACGCAGGTGAGTAAAAACCTTCAAGCCGGAGCCTGCAGGCGTGTGGGCGAAGATCACTGGCAGGTATTCCTGTGGACAGTATATATAACTGGTGTAAATAATTGTTACTTTGGAACTTCAGGAACGTGACATGTATACAAGCTCTAGTGACGGTAAAATTAACTAAAATGGATTTAGTAGAATTAGAAACGGAATTAACTTTAGACACAAAAATCTTTTGTATGAATATTGCATTAGATAAAATAAATACATTACACTAACCACTTTCATTTATAGGGACATTCATAAATAAATTATTTTGGTGAATGATGTCTTTATTGAGTATTTAAGTAATTCAGATTATTATTAATTTTTTATTTCTAGCAAATAAATGTTTATATATATATATAAAAAAATTCAAAGATCTACAGAAAAGGTGAAATTTAAAAGTGAATTGTAGACAATTTTTTTTTTAGAAAAAAACGACAATAATGTTAAAACCAAAATTTTTTCAGCAATTGGAAGATTGTAGTTAATTAGCAAGCAAAACGAATTAATAAATCTTTTATTTTATTCTACTGAGTCATGAAGGCTGTATCAGGTGTGATGTGATGCCAATCTTGTCTCCCGTGGAGAGATTTTGATAGAGACCAGTTTTGCAACCAGTTAGCTGGAAGAAAGTTTTATAAAAGCAATAAAGAGTACTTTTCCTGAAAGAAATCTGCAGCTGGAAGGTCGGTTTCCTTCTAGTTTCCTTAGAATGTTTTCTGGTATGTCAAGAGGAGTACAAGCCAGATCATAATACACTCTGTCCGCTATCATCCCGATTGTTTCATCCACAGGTACGTTGGTAAACAGTGATTCTACAGAAAACATTCTAAAGAAACTTCTCCAAGCTTGTACTAAAGAGGCACCCTTCTTGAGCCCAGATGTGCACATGTATAAGCAAGTAGATGGGGTCGCCATTGGTTCTCCCCTAGATGTCCTGTTTGCAAACTTCTACATGGGTACCATCGAGCAGAAGGTCTTAGTTGACATGGACTTGAAACCTGCCATATACTGCAGGTATGTTGACATATTTACACAGGTACCTGATGTCAGACGTCTGCAGGAGCTGAAGGAGGCATTTGAGCGGAAGTCTGTGTTGAGATTCACTTACGAGATGGAGAGGGATGGGAAGCTGCCCTTTCTAGATGTAACAGTCACGAAAAGGAGAGGAGACTTCCACACTACAGTGTACACTAAGGAAACAAAAATAGGAATGTGCCTCAATGCCAATAGTGACTGTCCAGACAGGTACAAGAGGAGTGTTGTCAACGCTTACGTCGACCGTGCTCTCAGCCACAGCTCAGGATGGAAGCAAGTCGATGAAGAACTCTGTAGGGTAAGGCCGGTCCTTGTCAACAACGGCTTCTCTAATGGTTTTGTTGAAAACATCATAAAAAGAAAGGTAAAACGTCATGCAACCTCTGAACAGTCAACTAAGACAACATCTGTACCCCCTATTAGAATATTTAACAGGAACTTCTTTTCGACAGCACATAAAACGGAGGAAAGGGTCCTAAAAGATATTGTTGATAGGAACGTTATCCTTACGGTCAAAAATCAGAAAATACAATTGACGATTTACTATAAAACCAAAAAAACGGCCAATCTACTCATGAAAAGTTCTCCATACACAGAGCAGAATGCCTTGAAGGAAACCAACGTCGTCTATGCCTTCATATGCTCACTTAGGGGACTGTAAGCCCCAAAGAGCTCAGTATATAGGCAAGACAAAAACGTCTCTTTCCAGGCGATTAACAATGCATAAACAACAGGGCTCCATAAAGGAACATATAATCTCCTCTCACAACCAGACCATCACCAGAGAAATGTTAACAAACAACACAGAAATCATCGATAGATACAGCGATAGCAGGCGGCTCGTCATCTGCGAGGCACTACACATCAAAAAGTCAACACCAGCAATCAACAGCCAATTAATGCACAACTATATTCTACTCACTTCAAGACTCCGAACCAATATAGAAGCATCAAGAGGAAGTATGGGCCAATAGGCCCTCTGCAGTTACTTCCATTCTTAAGCTCTCATATCCAATTAATATCCATAGTTTCGTGTTCTGTCTTGTGTTTGTCACAAGTTTGTTCACCTCATCCAAAACAATTGCACCATATCACCTCACCCAGATGCGAGTATAAGTATGACGGATTAGCGTGTTTACATACGGGCTCACCATAGTCCGTGCTATATGGACACTTCGTTCTGAGTAGCTAAATCTGAAACAACAACACAACGTGTTTACAGGTTACAGTTGTGTGTGTAAACTAAAGTCTTTGTATATATAATAAGTTATTACGAAACGCGTTCAAGCGTCGCGTCAGACTAGATATAAAAATAAATTTTGGAGAATTTATTTTTCAATTACCATCGGCAGTAAAAAGAAACATAAGAAATAGAGAAAATTCGTGTTAGAATTATTAATCTTACCTTTCCGCTCATATTTAACAAATTAAATTATATATATATATATATATATATATATATATATATATATATATATATATATATATATATATATATATATATATATATATATATATATATATTATATATATATTATATATATTATATATATATATATATATATATAATACATTATATATCTACCTTATCTAAATAGTTGGAATTGGGGCCTCCGCTGATAAAGTACATCAGAACACACAGGAAGCTGGTGATGGATTTGGGACCACACATATCTGATACTTTTTTTGAGCTTTCAGTTGTGAGTCTGAAGATTTCCATTATTCCATGCTTACGAAGTTCTTTCTGTAAAAAAATAAAGAACTCATTATATTCAACAATTTGTATAATCTCTTAAAAAATTATGTTACATTTCCCTTTTTGGAACTGGTCACAAATTATTTCAGACTTTTCTTTAAGTGGTTCATAACATTATTGAAAGGTTCTTTCATTAAATAATAATGAAGAGAAACATCAATATGAGAGTCGACTTTTATTGTAAATAACGTTTTTCCTATATTTAAATATTTAATATATGACATTGTTATATTTATTAGTACACAATACAGGTTAATGTTAGCTGGGAACAAGTTCATAAGGTGAAGGTGAAATGCATGAGAAAATATTTATTACCATATATATATGTTTGAATTATGTATTTAGTGCGATGGGTAGCAATATGGACATTTCATTAATTATGTTTCTAATTGCATTTATTTATTTATAATTAAAGATTATTTATATATTAAAAGTATTAAACAGAATAATTATTTAAATTAAGGATTAGTAATAGATTAAGTACTTAAATTATTTATTATTTGATTTAAATTAATTTAGATTAATTATTTATATTAATGATTAATATTACTATTTAATTAATTGATTAACTGATTAATTCATTGATTAATTGATTATTATTTAAAATTATTATTAGAATAATTATTTAAAGATTATTATGTATGCCTCCCAGATTGCTCTACCAGCCTTCCTTTCCCCATCGCACGACCTCGTCAGAGATATCTTACCTGAACCCCTGAATGATTCAGCGGGAATACACGATCCTGATTTCGCTGAATGTTCAATTCAGTGGGATGCTCTTGCAGCTCACTGATTATAGAACCCATTATAGACCCAACAAAAAAAAAAAACAGTCCAGCTGGGACCAACCTCTAGTGGAAAAAATAGCTGATGCCATGCTCAGCGCCGCAACATCAGACAAGGAGAAAGCCCGCCTCAGAGCCGTGCTTGCCCCCCATGCAGGAGACTTCCTGTTGAGAGTACCCCATGTCGGCAATGGGCACACGTCTAGATCCAGAATCCCTTCGTGTAACAGTAGCTCTCCGCCTTGGTGCCCAAATTCACACTGAATACAAGTGTACTTGCAACAGGGTGGAAGCAGACCAATATGGACTGCATGGGTTGCATTGCGAAAGCACAAAGGGTTGGCATGCAAGACACAGCGAGGTCAAAGGCATCATCAAGAGGAGCCTCGTCTCAGTGTCCAGCGGAGAGAAAACCTTGCATCCTAGGGGACCAAAACCCGGATGACCCCGCACTTTGCCCTGATGGTATCACTATGTACCCCTGGAAAAGGGGCAAACAGTTGATGTGAGGCTACACATATGTATCCACCCTGGCTGACACCTATGTACACTTCGGGGCTGATCAAGCAGGTGCGGCGCCCAACAACAGGAAAAGCAAAATCAGCCAAATACAGGCGATTGGATGGTCAATACATATTTGTTTCCATAGCGTTTGAGACGCAGGGCACCTGGGGTAAGCGTGCCTTAAGATTTCTCAAGGAACTGGGCTCTAGGCTCATTGACGTCACCAGAGACCCAAGGGTTGCCAGTTTTTGGTTTCATCGCCTCAGTGTGGCGGTCCAAAGGGGAAACGCCTGCTGCATCCTCGGTTCCTGTCTGAAAGCGGAGGAGCTTCAAGAGATCCATAATCTTTAAGCACTCATTGTATCCACCAATGTATATCTTATAACCTTTAAATATATAATAAAACACACAAAAACACAAAAGGAAGGTGGTAGTAGGAGCCTAAACCATAAATTTAGGTTTAGGTTTTCTCCTAGGTAGAAGAACCTAAACAAAAGCACACAGAAACTGTATTGGAAGGAACCTGAACATTCCCTTTAATGCGTTATGTGTGGTTTCTTCCAAGGCTAAGGGTCCCCTTCTTCCAGCCAGAGGTGGTACTCCCCTATTTTATTTTATTATTTTCCTATATATAGGGTTGTGAAAGCACACCAGTATATATTGTGAAAGCAACATATTTGTGTGAAAGCAAATATTTTGATAATTAACTGGTACAGTGTTGTAATCATTCTAACACACAGTGATTCGTGAAGTCGATGGTGTTGCAGTGTTTAAGGGCTGCAGACACTACTCTGGCTCCTAAAGTTGTCTTCATTGTCAATGACGAGTTTTGCATACCTCAAATATATGATGTGTTACATCTTGCTCATGTGTCATACCCGCAAGCGGTGCTGCTGTTGTCGAATCTCCAGTCATACACATGTTTGTAAATTCTTGTATGCAAGTTTCTTGATATTTTCTCTATTGTTGGGTACAAAATACACTCCGGCTCTGGTTCTGTTAGATAAGTGTTGCTGTTAATAAACTTTGTTGCTGGTTTCTACATTCCCTTATGAACGATATGAGAGATTGAAAGTTTAGGAAGGAATCGGTGGTGAATCGACACGTGTGTTCTAGAAACTGCTGGTTACATATCATAAAAGAGCGGAGATAACTACAGTCACTTTCTCATGTCGCTCTATAATGGTGGGAGTAAAAATTTAATGAAACTTTTGTTTAATGTTAGTTTTATGTTGACTTTAAACTTCAGTGAATCAACATCTTACATTAATAGTGTCTTTCAGTCTCTGAAATGGCGTGCTGTTATGATCAAGTCATCATTATAATAAAAATGTAATTCCCATTATTGGAGATGATGCTCGATTTGGAATATTACTAAGAAATTAGCAACAACAATATTACTGAGAAATCCAAGTCATGTGATGAATTGTTTAACCATTTGCGAGAGAGAAAACTTGGATTTTGAGTGATTCTTCAAAACATTAACAAAATTTGTCAATTTCTACAATATTTATGATCAATTCTCTCTCTTTCTCTTTATTTAAAACTAAGACAAGGGTTCATGAGGGCTTTCGATTGAAGTACCTAATGAAAAACTGCAAGCAAGAACTGTAATCCTACCTCAGCTCAGTTGAAAACTATTCTTAGAGACCCATTTACTTCATGAGTATATTATATTCATCATTAAGAATAAACTTTATTTATGTCTTAAGTAACATTCATATTAGGAACAAGATGAGCCCTCGGCCAACTGTGTGCCAGAGCCTTCATGTGATCAGTTAACCTGATCTTCCGTGTATCAACCTGTTGAGCAAACACGTTCCAGATGCGAGTCAACCCCGGAATGAATGATCGCTGATGGAGTGGTGTTCTTGAGAATGGCACTTCCAGCCTGAGACTGTTGAAGGTTGAGAGCCTAGTGCTAGGGTGGCAACTACTGGTAGTCCACGGAGTTGGGCCAGGGTGCGAAACAGAGGATGTTGGACTTGTACATAACAGTAAGACAACCAACCTCACTACGGTGTTGCAGGCTCTGATGTTCAGACCGTTCCCACCATACTTGATCAAGAATAGAAATAGGCCTTCTTGTCCGTCTCTCAGCTTTGTCCAGCAGTCATGAATGATGGTGGGCAGGCGATCTAGGAAAGGGGTGCATACTCTAGACGAGAGCAAACTTGTGATTCATATACAACTCAAGGGTTTTACCACCCATATGCAAACCTGTTCGATTTTCCATGTGCTCTCTTGTTATCAACATCGCTTGTGTGTTTTCAGCCGCAAATGTGATCTGCCAGCTCCTAACCCCAGGTAGAAATCACTGAAAGTTGGTAAAAATTGCATCAGTTGGCATTTCTTCCTTTCTTTATGTGAAGGTAAGAGTGCAGTCATCAGCATATTCTTGAGCTTCAGGAATTAGGTGAAGTAGATCGTTGAAATAAACATTCCACAGCTTAGGGCCAAGCACACTATCCTGTGGAACGCTGGCACTAACTGAGTGGCTATCGGATTCTGCTCCATTGAGAATTACCCTTAGTCCTTCCTCCCTCTCTCTCTCTCTTACTTACCTCGGCACCTTCGAAGAATGGAGCAAGGACACCAGCCATCGTGTACTTGTGGTGGACGTAGGCCGCTGGCGCCAGGGCTGCCATTGCTCGCACCTGGAACAGAAGAAACACAATGGCTGGACAAGTTGGCAGATTCTTGCGAGAGGAGTAGAGGGAGGGAATTGCTACTGGAGGAGTGAGTGAAGGCAATAGAGGAGTGAGTGAAGTAAGTAGTTTCATAAGCTGGTTTTTAAGGAAGTACTCACTGGGGGAATTATTGGAATGAGTGCAGGGAGTAGTTATTATCGTGAATGGCGCGACTTGTCACTGAAGAAGTGAGTAGAGGGAGTAAATGTAGAGATTAATCATTGGAGGAGTACGCGAAAGAAGTAGACACTGGAGGAGTGAGCTGAGGAAGTAGTCCTTGGCGGGGGGAGTGCGGTTGTAGGCACTGGAGGAACAAGTTAAAAGAAGTTTCAATATGAGTGAGAAGAGAGAGTGATCACTGGAGGAGTGAGTGGAGAATGCAATCAATGGAGTGAGAATTTCACGTAGTCCCTTGGAGAAGAAGATAATGCGCAGGTCGGTAAACCAAGGAGGAGGATGATCAGGAGTACCAAGGAGAACGAGGAGGAAGAGCACCACGGAGGAGGAACCAGAACACCATGGAGGAACACGCAGAGCACCATGGAGAGGAGGAAGAAGAGCACCATAGAGGAGAAGGAGGAGAAGAAGAAAACCATGGAGGAGGAAGATGAGCCAGTGCACCATGGAGGAGGAGGAGGAGGAGCACCATGGAGGAGGTTCCAGCGAACCATGGAGGAGGAGGAGCCAGTGCACTAAGGAGTAGAAGCACCATGGAGGAGGAGGAGCACCATGGAGGAGGAGGAGGAGCACCATGGAGGAGAAACACTGAATACACACAGCAGTATTTTACCTGGAAATAAAATATTAAAATAAAACTGAAGGAAAATGGAAATCAGGAAACGTCATCACATCAAGACGTCTTTAAGATGATAAAGGATAACTATATAAAATTTAATAAAACTAGTAGCAAAAAGGTTTCTTCAAATGGGTGGCGGAATTACACGCTGAAGAAACAGAGTTGTGTAACTTCACACTGTAGAAGCAAAGTGAAGGAACTTCACTCTTAAAAAGGCAGGGTGGTTTAACTGAACACTGTAGAAGCGTAGTGGTGGAACAACACTGTGGGGAAAATATGACTGAGCTGCAGGCTAAAGAAGCAAGGTGGAGAAATCAGATATTGAAGGAGCGTGATGGTGGAACAACTCTCTGAATAAGCATAATGCTGGATCTACGGACTGAAGATGTATATTAGTACACTTACACACATAAGTAACAGGACCTTCACCCTATAAAAGGATTCTAGATCTTAGAAAGATCTACCATGCTTTTTTAGTAGTTCAAAAACCCGCTACTTAAAAAAGCACCTAAGAAGTTGGTTTTGGAACGTCCAACTAAAGAAACGCTCGACGGTGGAACGTACGGACTGAAGGAGCATGACTATGGAACTATTCAATCATTAAAAAGCACCCTGGTGGAACTACGAACTGAAAAATCATGACGGAGAAACTGCTCACTGAAAAAGCAGGGTGATGGAACTACCCACTGTAGAAGCAGATTTGCGGAACTACATCTGTAAAAGTCGAAAGGTGGACCTACTTATTAAAGCAGCAAGGTGATGGAGCTACCCGACAGAAAATCAAAATTTTAAAAGCGTTACATTTTACTACCTAAACTGATTCCCAATATCACACGGAGTTTTCGACGATGATTGAAGGAAAAGATCGGAGGCGAGCAGACGAGCAAGACAGTCAGACCTACCCAGGTGTTGATGTGTGGGTGGTAGTCCATCATGGCAAAGAAGAGAGAAGTGCCCATTGAGTGTCCGATGTAGCTGACCTGGTCTACCCTGGAAGTCTTGCGAACGTAGCTCAGCATGGCCGGCACGTCGTAGCGCGACAATTCGTTCCAGCTGCCGGGGGAATAAGAAACGGCTTTTAACATTTCCATGCATTATGAAATCAGGAAGAAGTTCATATTGATGAACTATTTTCCAGATTAATTGTAAACTGTTCCATATTTATTGATACTTTTTTGTTTGATGTGACGATAGTTCGTGTCACATCTCTACCTGTGTACGTAATGAGCCAGGGTAGATTGAGCACGTGAAGCCCCAAAAACATTAAGCTACCCACTACCTACCTGAAGTCCCAGAATTCAGGCTGTTTGGTTGTAAGGTTGGTATGTCGACGGCCGTAAAAGTTTCCTCTGGTGTTGCCTAGCCAGACGTCGAAGCCTGCGTCAGCCAGCAGGAACCCTGCGTCAGGAACAGGATGCAGTTAGTACGGAGCGGTACCGATAACACCGTCAACTTGTTACTGACGACAATCAATATCAGTCTTAATGTTTGTGTGTGCGTGTGGGTTTTTTAATGTTTGTGTGCGTGTGGGTTTTTTAATATTTGTGTGCGTTTTTGTGTCACTTTATGTGTACCTACTTCATTTGTCTAGTAATGCAGGACTGAGCATCAGTTCCTGGGCTCTGTTTCCTCATCTGACGTCTACTGTGATCTTGTGATCTTGCTGGACTTGTGATCCTGTGGTCCCGGGTTCGATCCCGGGCGCCGGCGAGAAACAATGGGCAGAGTTTCTTTCACTCTATGCCCCTGTTACCTAGCAGTAAAATAGGTACCTGGGTGTTAGTCAGCTGTCACGGGCTGCTTCCTGGGGGTGGAAGCCTGGTCGAGGACCGGGCCGCGGGGACACTAAAGCCCCGAAATCATCTCAAGATAACCTCAAGATACTGTAATGACTGCTGATCCATTTGTTTCTTAGTCACAGGTGCTATAAACCCTACGAATGAAGGCATGGTCAATATTTTTGCTCATATTCAGTTCCTCTGTATGACTGCCTTCACTCTGACGAAGCAGTTCCTTGCATCTTTATTGCTCATCTACGTATATATTAAACACACCATATTCCCATTAGTGTTGTTCAATTCTCAATCCGAGAAGATTATTACAGCCACCATTTTATGTCTTGTTGGGAATATTACTAAGAGTGAGCTCAATCTGTGCTATCGGGTTCGTGGTAACTAGCATTATCATCACTTGTTTTTGGTGCTCATATATATTTTTGCTACGATGAACCATACATGTACCCTGATACCCAACGGGGCAGGTGCGACATTCTAAGTGGCAAAAACGATCACTTTTGTTGCTTTTTATATTCATCAGTTTTGTGAAAAACCATTTTAATTAAGGTGTCCATTGTGGCTGTCTGCATTTTTTACTTTCCTTTTAAATGGATATATATATATATATATATATATATATATATATATATATATATACAGTCATACAGAGGAACTGAATATGAGCAAAAATATTGACCATATATATATATATATATATATATATATATATATATATATATATATATATATATATATATATATATATATATATATATATATATATATATATATATATATATATAATATATATATATAATATCTCTTTAAAGAGATATATATTTATCTCTTAAAAAAACGCATGTACAAAATATATAAACATTCAAAATACATATACATTCACTTTCCCTCACACAAACACACACTGCTAAAGTTCAACTCAGTAAAGTGTAAAGTAATGAAATTAGGCGAAGGGAGCAGAAGGCTGAACACACGCTAACATCTGGGAGGTGAAATCCTGCAAGAGTCAAATAGAGAAAAAGATCTGGGGGGTTGATATCACACCGAACCTGTCGCCAGAGGCCCACATCAAAAGAATATTATCAGCGGCATATGCTAGGTTGGCCATCATAAGAACTGTCTTTAGAAACTTGTGTAAGGAATCGTTCAGGACCCTGTATACCACTTATGTCAGACCAATCCTGGAATATGCAGCTCCTGCCTGGAGTCTATATCTAGTTAAACACAAGACAAAGTTAGAGAAGATTCAGCGGTATGCCACCAGACTTGTCCCGGAACTGAGAGTTATGAACTACGAGGAAAGGCTGAAGGAGCTGAACCTCACGTCCCTGGAAAACAGAAGAGTAAGGGGAGACATGATACCCACCTACAAAATTCTCAGGGGAATTAACAGGGTGGACAAAGACAAACTCTTCAGCACAGGTGGCACACGAACAAAGGGACACAGGTGGAAACTTTGAACCCAAATGAGCCACAGACACATTAGAAAGATTTTTTTCAGTGTCAGAGTAGTTAGTAAATGGAATGCACAAGGAAGTAATGTAGTGGAGGCTGACTCCATACACAGTTTCAAATGTAGATATGATAGAGCCCAATAGGCTCAGGAATCTGTACACCTGTTGATTGACGGTTGAGAGGCGGGACCAAAGAGCCAGAGCTCAACCCCCGCAAACACAATTTGGTGAGTACAACTAGGCGAGTACACTCTCTCTCTCTCTCCCTCCCTCCCCACCCCCGCTCACTCAAAGTTTTACACTATAATTGAGAGGGCAGCCTCTGAGGCTTTTAGAAATAGATCCCATCTGCTCATCATGGGGGATTTCAATCATGGAAGATTATCTTGAGGTTATCTTGAGATTATTTCGGGGCTTTTAGTGTCCCCGCGGCCCGGTCCTCGACTAGGCCTCCACCCCCAGGAAGCAGCCCATGACAGCTGACTAACACGCAGGTACCAATTTACTGCTAGGGAACAGGAGCATAGGGTGAAAGAAACTCTGCCCATTGTTTCTCGCCGGCGCCTGGGATCGAACCCAGGACCACAGGATCACAAGTCCAGCGTGCTGTCCGCTCGGCGGACCGGCTCCTGGAAGGATAGACTGGGAGAACAAGGAACCGCATGGAGGTGAGGATACTTGGAGAGTTAAACTATTGGAGGGGGCGACAAGAAACTTCTTAAGCCAGCATGTCAGGGAACCCAGAAGGATGAAAGCAAACGATGAAACCGCGAGACTTGACCTAGTCTTCACTCTCAACGACTTTGACATAAGGGATATCGATTTCGAGGCTCCGGTAGGAATGAGCGACCACAGTGTACTGACGTTTGAATATCTGATAGAAGAAGGGTTATTGAACTCGAGGAGGGGTACTGAAAACATAAGAGCCTGAATTCCGAAAGGGAAACTATGAGGAGATAAGATAATTCCTAACAGATAACATGGGAAACAGAGCTCAGAGGAAAGACGGCCCAAGACATGATGGACTACATCACGCAGAAGTGAAAGGCAGCAGCAGACAAGTTTGTCCCAGTCCAAAAGAAAAACAATGAAATGTGGATGAGAAACTCATGGTTTAATCAGAGATGTAGGCTAGCTAAGCAGCAAAATAAAAGGGCATGGATAAACTATAGAAATAACAGGATAATTGAAAGCAGAGAAAAATATCAGTGTGCCAGGAATGAATGTCAGGTTGAGAAGAGAGACAGAAAGACAATACGAAAATGACATCGCAAGCAAGGCAAAGACTCAACCTAAATTGCTGCACAGCCACATCAGGAGAAAAAAACAGTAATGGAACACATAATGAAATTAAGAATAGGGGCAGACGGATTCACTACAAACGACAAGGAAGTGTGCGACGAATTTAATAAAATCCAGGAGGTCTTCACTTTAGAGCAAGGGAAAGTTCGAGAGATAAGAGAGGGAATAGTTAACCAGGAACCACTAGAAGAGCTTGACATTACCAGTAGGGATGTAAGGAAGCTCTTGCTAGAGTTGGATGTGACAAAGGCTATAGGCCCAGATGGAACCTTCCCTTGGATACTAAAGGAAAGAGCAGAAGCACTGTGCTTACCACTCTCCATAGTGTACAACAAATCATTGCAACAGGAGAACTGCCAAGAATTTGGAAAGCGGCTAATGTTGTCCCGATATACAAGAAGGGGATAGACAGGAGGCACTGAACTACAGGTCAGTCTCCCTAACTTGCACACCATGCAAGCTGATGGAGAAGATTGTGCGAAAAAATCTAGTGGAACATCTGGAACGAAATATCTTTGTAACACAGCATCAACATGGGTTCAGGGATGGCAAGCCCTGCCTCACAAGATTAATTGAATTTTATGACCAGGCAACAAAAATCAGGCAAGAAAGGGAGGGGTGGGCAGACTGCATATATTTGGATTGCCAGAAAGCCTTTGACACAATACCACACAAGAGGCTAGTGAAAAAGCTGGAGGTACAGGCTGGAGTGAAAGGGAAGGTACTCAATTGGATAAGGGAGTACCTAAGCAACAGAAGACAGTGAGTCACTTTGAGAGGTGAGGTCTCAGATTGGCAAAACGCCACCAGTGGAGTCCCGTAGGGTTCAGTCCTTGGACCTATACTGTTTCTGATAAATGTAAATGATCTCCCAGAAGGTATAGAATCGTTCCTCTCATTGTTTGCTGATGATTCAAAAATTATGAGGAGGAAAACAGAGGAGGATAGTATGAGGCTTCAAGATGACCTAGACAGCCTGAATGAATTGTCCAACAAATGGCTGCTAAAGTTCCACGCGAGTAAATGCAAAGTAATGAAACTAGGCGGTGGAAACAGGAGGGCAGACACAGGATACAGAATGGGAGATGAAGTGATTCATGAAACAGACAGAAGGAAAGATCTAGGAGTTTCTATCACACCATACCTATCTCCTGAAGCCCACTTAAAAAGAATTACGTCTGCGGCATACGCGAGGCTGGCTAACATGAGAACAACCTTCAGAAACCTGTGCAAGGAATCATTCAGAATCTTTTATACCACATACGTAAGACCAATCCTGGAGTAGGCGGCCCCAGCATGGATCCCGTACCTTGTCTAGCACACGACAAAACTTGAAAAGGTTCGTAGGTATGCCACTAGACTAGTCCCAGAACTAAGAGGCATGAGTTACGAGGAAAGGCCGAGAATAATGCACCTCACGACACTGGAAGACACGATTAAGGGAAGACATAATCACTACCTTCAAAATCCTTAGGGGAATTGACAGGGTAGACAAGGATAAATTGTTTAACGCTGGTAGTACGCAAACAAGGGGACACAGGTGGAAACTGAATACCCAAATGAGCCACATTGACGTTAGAAAGAACGTTTTCAGTGTCAGAGTAGTTAACAGGTGGAATACATTAGGCAGTGATGTGGTGGAGACTGGCTTCATACACAGTTTCAAATGTAGATATGATAGAGCCCAGTAGGCTCAGGAATCTGAACATCAATTGATTGACGGTTGAGAGGCGGGACCAAAGAGCCAAAGCTCAATCCCCGCCAGCACAACTAGGTACGTTCAACTAGGCCAGTACAGTGTTGAGACTCACCTAGCGCCTGGTCAGGGTCGTTCATCACAAAGTCTGCACTGGAAGAGAGAAAACCGTGTAGGACGAACACAGCTTTACGCTGCCCGCTGCTGTTCTTGCTGCTGTTGTGGCTGCTGCTGCTCTCATTACTGTTGTCTCTGCTGCTGCTCTCATTACTGTTGTCGCTACCTCTGCTCTCATTACTGTTGTCGCTGCTGCTGCTGCTCTCATTACTGTTGTCGCTACTGCTTCTCTCATTACTGTAGGTTGAAACTGAAGGGCAAATCATTTATGAAGGTTTAAAATATTTATTTATGATAAACACTTGCAATAAATATAAATGAACAGAGGTCAATATTGTCAGTCAAAACTAACCATACAAATTATCATGCTTCCATAACAGACACCCTCAGAGGAGAATATGGCAAGAATAAACGGAAATTCTTATTAATGTTATTTTTCAAATCTACTGATTTGAAAAAAGTTCACAGGCAACATGAACACGACCATAGGAAAGTGGACATAAGCGAGGTCTTGAATGTGGAGAGAGAATCAGTGAAGGGAATGGTAATGGCGGGTTAGTGTGATAGTGGAGGGTTAGGGTGGTATTGAATAGTTAGTGTGGTAGTGGAGGGATTATGATGTAGTGGAGGTTTAGGGTGGTTGCGGAGGCTAAGATGGTACTAGAAAGTTAACTGACCATATTTTCCGCTTGTTACAACTTGTAATAAAGTTTTTACATTTTGTTACAACGTTCTTATGACGTGGTCGCTTGTGCCATGGATTACGATTGTATCTTCAAATAGATTGCTATGTTCTATTATTAAACTGTTGTAATATCAATAATTATATTATTACCGTTTATTTCATTATGCACGCCTATTAGTTACATACCAGCTCGATTTTTCACTAAGGATGTCCTTATTTATGTTTAACATTAAGCGGTTTTATTGGCTAATAAAAGTGCAAATGGCATCTAAATCAGAAGGGAACAAGTATGAGAAAGACACCAGTAGAAACAGTTATATGACTTGACATGTAAAGAAATAAGATTGCTTTATAATGTGTGATACGCTTATAATAGCTGCATAGTTTTCATATTTTCATGTAATTACGAAGCAATAAGATGATTATCTTAACATACTAAGAAGGTTAGGTAAGGTCGGTGTTTTCTATGAAGCTTTTCAAGGTAAACTTATATAGTCACAATAAATTAGTATGTCACATATGCACGTATTTAATAAGTCAATATTGACTATACAAAAGTGTGTCAATATTGACACACTTTTGACACATATTGACACATATTGTGTCAATATTGACACACAATATAGTCAATATTGACTATACATATATTAAATATATATTAAATATATATAATTAAATATAAATATATATGTCGTACCTAGTAGCCAGAACGCTCTTCTCAGCCTACTATGCAAGGCCCGATTTACCTAATAAGCCAAGTTTTCCTGAATTAATATATTTTCTCTATGTTTTTCTTATGAAATGATAAAGCTACCCATTTCATTATGTATGAGGTCAATTTTTTTTTATTGGAGTTAAAATTAACGTAGATATATAACGTAGATATTAACCGAACCTAACCAACCCTACCTAACCTAACCTATCTTTATAGGTTAGGTAGTCGAAAAATCATTAATTCATGAAAACCTGGCTTATTAGGCAAATCGGGCCTTGCATAGTAGGCTGAGAAGTGCGTTCTGGCTACTAGGTACGACACATTATATTATATATATATATATATATATATATATATATATATATATATATATATATATTATATATATATATATATATATATATATATATATATATATATATATATATATATATATATATATATATATATATATATATATATATATATATATATATATATATATATATATATATATATATATATATATATATATATATATATATATATATATATATATATATATATATATATATATATATATATATATATATATATATATATATATATATATATATATATATATATATATATATATATATATATATATATATATATATATATATATAATAATATATATATATATATATATATATATATATATATATATATATATATATATATATATATATATATATATATATATATATATATATATATATATATATATATATATATATATATATATATATATATATATATATATATATATATATATATATATATATATATATATATATATATATATATATATATATATATATATATATATATATATATATATATATATATATATATATATATATATATATATATATATATATATATATATATATATATATATATATATATATATATATATATATATATATATATATATATATATATATATATATATATATATATATATATATATATATATATATATATATATATATATATATATATATATATATATATATATATATATATATATATATATATAATATATATATATATAATATAATGTGTCGTACCTAGTAGCCAGAACGCACTTCTCAGCCTACTATGCAAGGCCCGATTTGCCTAATAAGCCAAGTTTTCCTGAATTTATATATTTTTCTCATTTTTTCTTATGAAATAATAAATCTGTCTATTTCATTATGTATATATTAATTTGTTTAAATTTGAGTTAAAACTAACGTAGATATATGACCGAATCTAACCAACCCTACCTAACCTAACCTATCTAAACCGAACCTAAATTAACACCACTAAGTTAATCATTTATGTTCCTAATATAATAATAATAATTCAAATAAACCAATTGGAATTTTTGGGGGAAAATAAAGAAAATCACTCGGCCTATTAGACAAATCGGGCCTTGCAGAGAAGTGCGTTCTGGCTACTAGGTACGACATTATATATATATACATATTATATATATAAAGTATTACTACACATATTTACAAAGTGTCACTGTCACTCAGACAATACATCGGCAGTGTTCATCAAATCTCAGTAAATCCACTTTCCAGGTACACGTCGTCCACACTTAATGACAAACACTAGCGAGTTCACCTCCTCCAACATGGACCAGTCCACACACACTGTATCGTCACCATGTGCCAATACCCCCTCCTCCACTCTCCAGATACACACTGGCAGAGGGTTTCAGCAACACGCTGACAGAAGTCTCAAATAATCACATACTGGGCAGCTAGTACCCTGGCAAAAGTCTCTATTTGCTCACTAGCAGCACTTCTCAACAGATGTACCACTGTCGTCTCGTAACTCTTCCTTGTCAATCCCGGGTACGTCAGCCCATACGACACTGCATAAATCAGCAGATAACACACTAATATAACCGATGGCGGCCACTTTGTCCTCTCACAGGACCAAGTCAAGAGTTCTTGGACTGCCCTCCTCAGCGCAGTCGACTCTTTACGTCACTTCTGTGAACATAAAACGTAATTAGCTAGACGGACAGCATACTGGGTGACCTTAGGATAACACCCATTCACCGGGGAACTGAAATTGTAACCGCAACCTAGATGGCGTTGATCTCGATTCGCCACCCACCATAGTCATTCTCATCGACCTCACCTTCTAACTGAGGCAGGAAACCGGAGCGTTTAAGCGATACTACGCCATACCAACAGATGGCGTTGTCTGCATCGCACCTAATACCAGAGAGTTGGAGTGCAGATCTATCGATGGCGCAGAAATCTCCACTCCATACTCCAGCGACGGTGTCGATACCGTAACACACCTTTTCACTTAACTTGTTCCAACAGTCTACCATTCTGTTTGCTAAAGGAAATTTTCTTATATTTCTTCGGCAGCTTTGTTTAGTTAGCTTAAATCTATTACCTTTTGTTCTTGTCGTCCCAGGTCTCAAAAATTCATCCTTATCAATTTAGTTGATTCCCGTTACTATTGTGTACACAGTGATCATATCGCCTCTTTTTCTTCTGTCTTCTAGTTAAGCATATTTAATGCCTCTAACCTCTCCCCGTATCTCTCTTAGTTTTACACACTACTCCTCACTTGCCAAATCGACCAACATCTTTGCAGATTACCCTTATGGCGTACTGAGTAATCCTATACTCGTGGGAAGAGATATTAATTGTAATTTGGGCATATAGGATTAGTGAAGAACGTCTTGGAATGTTGAATTCCAAGATAGGTTAGAACAATTCCAAAAATGGATAGGTTATGTGGAACTAACAGACACATCTAATTGCATATCTGAATCTTCTGATAATTGGGAGCTATTACATCTCTCTTTATATAATAGCTACATCTTTTAGTTGCATGTCTTTGCACCTTTTCCAGTGTGTTAATATGCTTTTTTAAGATATGGACACGATTCAACCGCTGCATATTCTCACAAAGGTCGTCAACATTTTCTTTAGTATTTCACCATGCATGTATTTAAAAGCAATTCTGATATTGAAAACGCTAGCATTTTATTAACATAAATTCGTTAATTAAACATAGTTAATTAAGTTAATAAAGCACCATTCCTTACCCCCATCCCATCCCAAATCCTTATCCTGACCCCTTCCAAGTGCTATATAGTCGTAATGGCTTGGCGCTCTCTCCTGATAGTTCACTTCACTTCTTATATTTAGAAACACCACTACATTTCTTTCTTAATCATAAATTTTTAAAGCATTATCACATAATTTTTAGGCTGCATGTGGTCTATTTTCTCCTACTCCACATTCCAAAACGTGGCCTTTATTCATATTAAATTCCATTTGCTAAGTGGTGCTCTATTCACTTATTTTATTTAGGTTTTCTTGAAGAGCATCACAATCGTGTAAGTTTCTTATCTTCCCTAGTATCTTAGCATCATCAGCAAACATGCTTATATAATTTCGTATTCCTTCTGGAAGGTCGTTTATGTAGACAATGAGCAATAACGGTGCAGGAACTGAACCCTGTGGTACTTCACTCCTGACATTTTTCCAGTCCAATACATAGCCTCTGATTTCTACCCTCATTTTTCTGTTGGTTAGAAAAATTGTCATCCATGTTAGAAGCCTCCCTGTCACTCCTCCTGTAATGTATGTTCCAGTTTCCATAACAACCTCTTATATGGGACTCTTTCGAAAACCTTTCGTAGGTCCAGATAAATGCGGTCAACCCAACCATCTCTTTCCTGTAAAATCTATATGGCTCTTTCATTGAAACGACGTAAATCCTTACACAGGGTCTCCCAGATCAAAAAACCATACTGTCTTTTATCAAATCATTTTTCTCCAGGTGTTCTACCCTTTGTGTTTCCATTATTCGTTCCAGTAATTTGACTATTACATTTGTTAATGATGCAGATTTATAATTAAGGTGGGGTCTTCCGGCTACTTTTGAAGGTTGAAACTATGTTAACATTTTTTTCCACATGCTCGTGAACACGAGCAAAAGCTCGTGTGAGTGGTGAGGAAGCCAGGTTCCTAAGGCGTAGCGTACGGCTGTGTGGTGGTGTTGGAAGCCAATGGAGCTTCCAACAGCACGGGTGGAACACAAATAGACTCAGGTGAAAACTTAGTACGTAAATGAGCCACAGAGACAATTGAAAGAATTTTGTCAGTGTCAGAGTAGTTAACAGATGGAATGCATTAGGTAGTGATGTGGTGGAGGCTGACGGCATACACAGTTCCAAATGAAGATCAGACAGAACCCAGTAGGCTCAGGAATCTGTACACCAGTTGATTGACAGTTGAAAGGCGGAACCAAAGAGCCAGAGCACAACCCCTGCAAGCTCAACTAGGCGAGTACACAGAGGGGCCTCGCGGCTGAGTGGACAGCGCTCTGGGGTCGTAGTCCTCTGGGCACAGATTCGATCCCCGGCAGAGGGATAAACAAATGGGCAGTGTTTCTTTCAACCTGGTGGCCTGTAAAATTTTAACTGGAGTAGCTTACCACCCCCCTTGACTAGAATTAGGCAATCTGCTACGAGACAGCAGACCTTTTTATATATAGAATTTTGGAAACTAATTTCCAATGTGCCGGGCCTAGCCTAATTCTCTCAGTGGTGTCTCAGTTAAGATCATTCTGCATTTTACTAATTAGTCTCTACTTATAACAGATACATCACGTTAATATGATTTCATTGTGCAATATTGTACATACCCAGTGGCCGGTCGAGGTTTCAGTTCAATTGTTCGCTTATTGTATTGCACCAATATATGCGAAACTCTCTAAATCATCATCAAACTAAAAAAGGTTGCTCTGCCCACATATCTACCTCCTGGAGCGATAATGTTCCGGTTTCCCGCCACTGATTCCACTGACGATACCCCGTCATCTCTATTATGGGGGTGTGTGTGGCGGGCCCGGGGGCCTCGGCGGCCGTGAGGTATGCGGTGAATCTCAAGAATGTATCCGTCGCTAGTCACGACGTGATGAGCCTCAGCCGGGTACCCACGGGCGGCAATCAACTCAGCCTGCGGAAAAATGCACCCTCAGAATAAGAGCGTCTTGGAAGCTTCCATCAACTAATAACGCAAATTACTTACATGAATACTGCATTATTTTTCACTAGCAGCTTATATGATGATATAAGATCATCAGGAACTGAAAAAAAAAGATGTCCTCTCACCAGATATTGAGATGACAGATACACGAAGCGAGAGAAGTGCAATTATACTGGAAAAATGATTGTTTAATTAAGTAGGATCCACTTTACTGAGATACACGTATGTATTTAGGAAGTCCTTCTGTATTCAGTAGCAAGACAAATTATTTGAAAAAATCTTAAAATCATTTAAATCTTTTAACTGTTTCATGAGAAGTAACATTACGTGGAATCCACATGATTTTTTTTATTCGTAGTAATTATTAACTTTTTTCAGGAAATAGACATTAAAAGAATGAACGTCTAACGAATAATTTCATGAGAATGAATAATAAAGAAAGCATACTTGCGTGAAAGAATAATCTGAAATTTTAATATCACATGCATAACAAATATTGATATTCTCAGGCAAGAAAAAAAAAATGCGATTTAATAGAGGAAAACTTTTCACAAGTGAGATACCAGAATGTGGAATTTTAGAATCATATGCGAATTAGGAGACTACACTCTGTTGTTGTGTTGTATATGATGAAGATTCTCCCCACAATATGTGGTTGAAATCTAATGACAATTCCACCATTATAGCAATGACAGAGTTGATATTAGGCATCAGCATCACCACAGAACTGAGTACTGACAATAACACTTCAAGTGATGTACAGTAAGTACACTTTGGTAAAAAATGCTGAAGACCAACACTCCAAAACTCCTCCTTGAAGAACAACACTCTATCACTCCTCCTTGAACACCTACACTCCACTCCTCCTCGAACACTTACACTCCACCACTCCTCCTCGAAGACAAACACTCCTCCACTCCTCAAATATCTACACTCCACCTCTCCTCCTCGAACACCTACACGCCACCACTCCTCCTTGAAGACCTACACTCCACCACTCCTCTTTTAAGACCAGCACTCCACCACTCCCTCTTGAAGACCTTCAATACACCACCACTCCTTGAAAACCAACACTCCTCCTTGAAGACCTACACTCCACCACTCCTCCTTGAAGACTTACACTCCACCACTCCTCCTTGAAGACCAACACTCCCCCTTGAAGACCTACACTCCACTACTCCACCTTGAAGACCTACACTCCACCACTCCCCCTTGAAGACCTACACTCCACCACTCCCCCTTGAAGACCTACACTCCACCACTCCGCCTTGAAGACCTACACTCCACCACTCCACCTTGAAGACCTACACTCCACCACTCCACCTTGAAGACCTACACTCCACCACTCCACCTTGAAGACCTACACTCCATCACTCCACCTTGAAGACCTACACTCCACCACTCCACCTTGAAGACCTACACTCCACCACTCCTCCTTGAAGACCAACACTCCACCACCACTCCTCGAAGACCAACACTCCACCACTCCTCCTCGAAGACCTACACTCCAGCACTTCTCCTTGAAGACCTGCACTCCTTTACTCCACCTTGAAGACCAACACTCCTCCTTGAAGACCAACACTCCTCCTTGAAGACCTACAATCCACCACTCCTCCTTTAAGATCTACACTCTACCACTCCTTGAAAGCCCACATATCTTCATTCATTCTTCAAGCTAGACACTCTGGCACAGTGTCTCAAATATGTGAATAATGTTTATCAGCAGTGGCACACTTTCTTTTAAAGAATGATCCTCAAGTGAAATATCGGATAGTTATATATGCGAGTCGGTGTGATAAATGATAAGAGGGACGTAAATATATGCAAATGAGACTTAGAAATTTGTTTAATATACTTCATTCACGAGAACTTGACGCATAGAGTAATGAAATACTTTTATTACCCGTCACCTGTTTTTATTAATTTATCTTACGAAGAACATAGGCGTTAAACTTGCAGGTGTACTGAGGTGAACTCACTGTGGTGAGGTGGAGATGTGGGTGCTCACCCGGGCTGCTCTGGGTGGAGGTGAGAGCAGGAGAGCTGGTGTTCCCGGGTGTGTGTGTCACCACCCGCGTCGCTACCGCCGCCATCACCACCAGGAACGCCACCCTCGCGGTCATCCTACCTGCGTCAGCTGGTACCTCGCTGGAGGAGCAAATATGTACTATTCAAAAAGATGTAACTCGACTTCATGTCTACAACTATTTATTTGGTAATTATGTACATCTAAATGTAAACTTCACAAAAGGTATTGTTATGAAGAAAAATAATTATTTCGTATTTTGTTATGGAAAATTTAGCCTTCTAAATGTTCTGTCTTGTGTTGATACTTTTAATACCCTATTAATATCCTCTTTGTTATGTCCATTCACCCACTTGTAAACCTCTATCATGTCACCCCTAACTCTTCGCCTATTAATATTATATTAATATTAATAGGGTATTAAAAATATCAACACAAGACAGAACACGAAACAATGGGTATAAATTGGATAAGTTTAGATTTAGGAAAGACTTGGGTAAATACTGGTTCGGTAACAGGGTTGTTGATTTGTGGAACCAATTACCGCGTAACGTGGTGGAGGTGGGGTCCCTCGATTGTTTCAAGCGCGGGTTGGACAAGTATATGAGTGGGATTGGGTGGTTATAGACAGGAGCTGCCTCGAATGAGCCAATAGGCCTTCTGCAGTCGCCTTTGTTCTTATGTTCTTAAGCCTACTCTCAAGACAATCCTTCCGTCTGTCCCCACTTCCTGCTCCCTCTTTACCTGTAAAATCGATTCATTCATTAACCCGGTCTTGCACCCGTGGCAAGTAAGATACGCCGATCATTCCCGTGTCTTCTCGCTAAAGTTCTAAATATCTAAAGTAGGTGAGTACATACTTAACGCATGTAGTTAATAAATGGAATGCATTGGGAAGTGCCGTGGTGGAGGCAGACTTCATACAGTTTCAAGTGTAAATACGATAGAGCCCAGTAGACTCAGGAACATGTACACCAGTTGATTGACAGTTGAGAGGGACCAAAGGCTGTAGCTCAACCCTTGCAGGCTCAACTAGATGAGTACACACAAAAAATTATCCATTGTCAACGAGAACACGGACCACTCGAGCATGGTAACACTTTCAATTGTGATGTGAGCACTAATTCTCGTCCCAGCACATTCCTGCTACAACAGGCTGCTTGTATGAAGCCTGATTACACAAGAGGATATGAAGGAAGGCCTTGCCCGCATTCCTGGAGAGTCGCTTGTGGCGCCATGACCGATATTCAAGAATTAGCACTCAAATGCCGCTCAGATTTTTTCATGAAGTTTAAATTTCAATTAAAATATTAATTAATTTTACTAACTAGCTACGCAAATTGTTTACTTTATTATAGCAGTTCTTCCTTTGTCTATCGTTATGGCATATTTATTAAGGCATGTCTAGTGTCTTGTTATTGTTAATATTATCTACATACCGCCTGTATTATTGCCCTTCACGTTGGTATATAAGGCAGTCATGTCCCCGCTTTTCCAGCCGTTAATCACCAGAAAATTATGTTTCCTTAGTTTGTGCAAGAAATTAATTATTCCTGTTAATAAAATTACTAATACCTCAAATTATTCATATAGTTACATTATTTGTACATATAAGAACATAAGAACAAAGGTAACTGCAGAAGGCCTATTGGCCCATACAAGGCAGCTCCTATTTATAACTACCCAATCCCACTCATACATGTCCAACCCACGTTTGAAACAATCGAGGGACCCCACCTCCACCACGTTACGCGGTAATTGGTTCCACAAATCAACAACCCTGTTACCGAATATTATTTATTTGTACATATACTTACATTATATGAGAGTAAGGACAAGACAAGAATATATCGATGCCAACACAGAAGACAATGTCCAACATAACAGGCCAATTACACTGGATTAATCTTTGTTTAGATAGGAGATGCCTCGTATGGGCCAATAAGCCTTCTGCAGCCTCTATGTTTCACCTCACATTTATCCCTTATGTATCCCCCCATGTTTTCACCTTCATTGTATTATCACCTGACCCAGTGCGGGTATAAAATCAACTAGTATTGTAAGATCTGTTCACTTGAGAATGAACCATGGAGGTTCGAAACGTCGTGCAAATTATATAAATAAGTGTAATACACTCTATAGTAAATCACTTCTTTTCTTCACCTTAAAAGTACGAAAATGAGTTTTGGAGAACTCCTATTTCAATTAAGCCCTGATGCTAAGAAAATAGTTAGAGGGATAGAAGCCCTAAACCAGAAAATAATAAATACAGAATATGCGGTCATATTCAATGAAACATACTTACATTAGTACATTATTTACATCATGTACTAATGTACATTAGTAAATTATTGTGTACTTACCTAATTTAACTAATTGTGCTTGCGGGGGTTGAGCTCTGGCTCTTTGGTCCCGCCTCTCAACTGTCAATCAACTAATGTACAGGTTCCTGAGTCTACTGGGCAGTATCATATCTACACTTGAAGCTGTGTATGGAGTCAGCCTCCACCACATCCTAATGCCTTCCATTTGTCTACTACTCTGACACTGAAAAAAAGTTCTTTCTAATATCTCTGTGGCTCATTTGGGCACTCAGTTTGCACCTGTGTCCCCCCTGTGCGTGTGCCCATTGTATAAATAATCTGTCTTTATCTAACCCTATCAATTCCTCTGAGAATCTTGTATGTGGTGATCAGGTCCCCTGTAACTATTCTGTCTCCCAGTGACGTGAGGTTTAATTCCCGTAGTCACTCCTCGTTGGTCATACCTCTCAGTTCGGGTACTAGTCTGGTGGCAAACCTTGGAACCTTTTCAAGTTTAGTCTTATGCTTGACTAGATATGGACTCCATGCTGGAGCCGCATACTCCAGGATTGGTCTGACATATGTGGTTTACAAAATTCTGAAAGATTCCTTACACGAGTTTCTAAAGGGCGTTCATATGTTGGTCAACCTGGCATGTGCCACTGATGTTATCCTCTTGATATGAGCTTTAGGGGACAGGTCTGGCGTGATATCAACCCCCAGGTCTTTCTCTCTCTGACTCGAAGTATTTCATCTTCCAAATGTTACCTTGTATCTGGTCTCCTGCTCCTTACACCTATGTCCATTACATTACATTTGCTTGGGTTAAACTCTAACAACCTTTTGTTCGACCATTCCTGCAGCTTGTCCAGGTAGGTAGGTAGGTGTGTGTGTGTGTGTGCGCGCGCACGCGCGTGTACTCACCTAGTTGTGCTTGAGGGAGCTTCGGCTTATTGGTCCCGCCTCTCAACCGTCAGTCAACATGTGTATAGGTTCCTGAGCCTATTAGGCGCTATCATATCTATACTTTAACTGTGTATGGAGTCTGCCTTCACCACATCACTTCCTAATGCATTTCATTTATTAACTACTCTGACACTAAATAACTTCTTTCTAATGTTTTAGGGCTCATTTTTACACTCAAATTACACCTGTGTCTCCTAGGGGGCACACGCACACAAGTGCGTGGGCCCCCATGTGTTAAACTGTCTTTGTCTACCATATCAATACCTTTGAGAATTTTGTATGTGGTGATCATGTCTCCTCTAACTCTCCTGTCTTCCGGCAACGTGAGGTTTAATTTCCTTAGGCTCTCCTTATAGCTCCTCCCCCCCCCCCCCAGTACGGGTACTAGTCTGGCGGCAAACCTCTGAACCTTCTCGAATTTAGTTTTATGCTTGACGAGATATGGACTCCATGCTGGAACAGCATACTCCAGGATAGGCCTGACATACGTGGTATACAAGGTTCTGAATGTTTCCTTACACAAGTTTCTAAAGGCCGTTTTTATATTGGCCAACCTGGCATATGCCGCTGAGGTTATCCTCTTGATGTGGGCTTCTGGGGACAGGTCTGGCGTGATATCAACCTCCAGGTTTTTCTCTCTGGTTCTTGAAGAATTTAATCTCCCAAATGATACCTTGTAGCTGGCCTCCTGCGCCTTGCACCTATCTTCATTACATTTAATTAGCTCGGGTTAAACTCTAACAACCATTTGTTGGATCATTCCTTCAGTTTTTCCAGGTCTTCTTGAAGACTTGCAATCTTAATCTTCCTCATAATTTTGGCATCATCCGCAAAGATTGAGAGGAATGCGTTTATACCCTCTGCAAGGTCATTTACGGATATCAGAAACAGAACAGGTCCGAGTTCAGAACTCTGTGAGACTCCGCTTGTGACTTCTTGCCAATCTGAGGTCTCACCCCTCACAGTAACTCTGTTTCCTATTGCTTAGGTACTCCCTCATCCACTGGAGCACCCTACCAGACACTCTTGCATGTTTCTCCAATTTAAGTACCAGTCTCTCAAGGGGTACTGTGTCAAAGGCTTTCCGACAGTCCAAGAAGTCTGCCCAACCTTCTCTTTCATGCTTAATCTTTGTCACCTGGTAGTGGAATTCTATTAAACTTGTGAGACAAGATTTACCATCCCTGAACCCATGTTGGTGGAGTGTCACGAATTCACTTCTCTCTAGATGTGTTACTAAGTTCTTTCTCACGATCTTCTCCCTTACGTTGCATGGTATACACGTTAAAGATACTGGACACTGTAGTTCAGTGTCTCTTGCCTGTCACCCTTTTGTGTGTACTCACCTAGTTGTGCTTGAATTCTGGCTCTTTGAATCCACCTCTCAACTATCACTCAATCAACTGATCAATCAGTCAAGTCCTAGGGTCAATCCCAGGACCCTAGGACTATGAATATTGAGTGTTGTCCACTCAGCCGTCAGACCCCTTATACTGGACCATTTTATGTGCATGGTCCAGGCGATTTGTTCGTGTGTGTGTCGTTCGTTGGCGCTAGTGTGTCTCCAAGAATAACACAAGTCATTACAAATCTAATGTCGGGAGCTATTACCAGCATTGCCTGGAGGCTCACTGACCTCTATAACTCTGGATTTGTTCATACCACTAACGCCTTCATGTATAAAAGTTTAGCGTAATAGTCAATTAAATGAATACCACGCTTTATGTTCCAACATTTTTAATAACAAAAGTTTCAGCACCAAAGAAAAAGTTGTTGAGTGAAAGTAAGGGTGGAGAGGTCACAAGGTGTGTTGCACAGCGCTGGTCTTTGCGAGGAGTGAGTGTACA